CTTCCTCATTGATGGAAGCAGGGTTGGTAGCCACCAGATGTGCTATGCACAGCTTCAATCCACACATAAGCAACGTGAGGCCACAGGCTGCGTGTGATGCTTCTGTATGGCTGGTATGGGCCAGGCAGAGGTGTTGGATTACAAGGAGAAGTGGTTGCAAAGATAAGTGTGGGACACAAGTGACATGACAAAAGGAATTCTGGGAAATGTAGTTCAGCCAAGTAGAGCCATGCTGGGGGTAGTTGCAGGGGAGGGGGGTGTTGGGAGTCTTGGGGTGTTGGGGAGTTTGTTGGTCACAGGCCAGGAGCTGCAGAGGGTAGAAGGGAAGGGTTTCAGTGGGAAGTTACAGGGTTGGGGTACAGTTTGTACTTAGCAAAGTGGGGAAAAGAACTCCAGGGATGGAAGGATGGAGACAAAGATTGAGATCCTGAAGAGGACTGAGATCAGTCTTGATCAGTTGGTCTTGGTGGTCTCTAAGTAGAAAGTTCAATTTTCTGGTCCAGAGTACTTAGTTTGCTCTTACAGGGTGTGGGACAAGAACTCCCTCCTGCATTGAGGGAGGTAGCAGTAACCTGTCAGGGGTGGGGAAGGAGTGAGACACTTCTCTGAGGAGAGGTGGAGGTCTCAGAGTGCTCCCCCCGGAAAAGCACCTTGTGATTTAGGGGCAAGGTTTACCACCTTGTTGTGTATAATATAAGAGAATTAAAGGTAGCCTAAATATCCCACAAAGGGGGTCTCTGTAGAACACTCCAGTTGCCCCATAAAATGGAATCACCTGAAACCATTACTAGTGATACCATGTGAGAATATTTAAAAATAAAAGGATCCCAGGAATATGAAGGCGGTAATGGCAGCATAGTTTTTCAGTCTTTCAAAATATCCACATAAAAAACAGAGTAACAAGCTAGTAAAGCCAAAACCCACAAACAACATTTGCAACAGAAGGTGAAAAGGTATTACCACAAACCTCAAAACACCAGTGGGCAGGGGCAAACCACAGACTTGTCTCTGGCAGCATCTGTACAGGAGGAAAAGAGGGAAGTGATAAGGCAGCATCTGAAAGACCAGAGAACAGAAGCCCAAAACAGCACAGCGGACGGGTTTCTTCAAAAAGACCAAAAAAAGACCGGGCGTGGTGGCTCACGCCTGTAATCCCAGCACTTTGGGAGGCAGAGGCAAGCAGATCACTTGAGGGCAGGAGTTCAAGACCAGCCTGGGCAACATGGTGAAACCCCGTCTCTGTATTTGCCTTAAAAATACAAAAATTAGCTGGGCATGGTGGCACGTGCCTATAGTCTCAGCTACTTGGGAGGCTGAGGCAGGAGAATCGCTTGAACCTGGGAGGCGGAAGCTGCAGTGAGTGGAGATCGTGCCACTGCACTCCAGCCTAGGCGACAGAGCAAGACTCAGTCTCAAAAAAAAAAAAAAAAAAAAAAAAAAAAAAAAAAAAAATCCAAAAGAAATGAAAATACAAAAAGGATTTAAGAGAAAATGACAGATATTGAAGATAAATGAAGAACAGTGATGATGATAATAAGAACCCTTGAAGAAAACCAAGGCAAGGGAACAAAACCTATACTAAAATTTGTAATTCAAGATGACTTTTCTCAAATAAAGGAAACTTGAAACTACATATGAAACAGCCCATAATGTACACCATAATCATACCGGTATTATCAACACTGAGATGAATTCTAGTAAAGTTACTGGGCTTTAATGAAAAACAAATTATTTTAGCATCTAAAAAATAAAAAGAATTCATGACTTCTGAGGGAAATGTAATTAGATTATCATCAATCTTTTTGACAGCAATTATTATGCTAGAAGAAAATGGAGGAACATAAGTATAGTCTTGATATATATATATATATATATTTTTTTTTTTAATGGACAGAGTCTTGCTCTGTTGCCCAGGCTGGAGTGCAGTGGTACAGTCTCGGCTCACTGCAACCTCTGCCTCCTGGATTCAAGTGGTTATTGTGCCTCAGTCTCCCAAGTAGCTGAGACTACAGGTGTGCGCCACCATGTTCGACTAATTTTTGTATTTTTAGTAGAGACAAGGTTTTGCCACGTTGACCAGGCTGGTCTTGAACTCCTGGCCTCAAGTGATCTACCTGCCTCAGCCTCCCAAAATGCTAGGATTACAGGCATGAGCCACCACACCCTGCCAGTGTTGATAATTTCTTAAAAATGTGATATCCCTTTTAAGTTTCTTTCAATTTATAGGTTCCCCCTCCATCCTTTCATTTCTTTACAATTTGTCTATTGAAGGACCTGGTCTCTGTGACCAGAAGAGTTTCTGACAGTCTGGATTTTGCTGATTACACATTCATGGTGCAGTTCACATGTTCTCTGTCCTTTGTGTTTCCTGCCAATTGGCAGCTCCATCCAGAGACTGGATTAGAATTAGATTCAATTCCTTTGGCAAGATTCTGGGCTGTGTTTGGCCACGGGAGGCATGAGGTTTCTGGTTATCTCTTTTGTAGTCTTATCAACCATTGATGCTTAATGACTACCATTCTTTGCCAGTTGCACAATGTGATCTTCCAGTTCTAAAGTTTCTTTTTCATTTATCAGTTGTGAAACTTGTACAAATAGTCACTACCTTCACTACCTCCCATCTACTATTTGGTTGCTTGAGGGTCTAGTTCATATGGCAAAGGCAGGAAAAGTGCTTGATTCTTTCTCTTTACTTACTAGTTTGCCATATAATGAATTGATTCCTCATCATCCTCTGTAGGTTAATAAGTCTTTTTTTAAAATATCATTGTGAACTTATAGACTCAAACGTATTTCAAGGGTTTCAATACATTGCAATGAACAGTATTAAAGCTTGTACTAGTTCATCTTTGATCAGTTGGAGTCTCCTTGGGCTGGCTCCTGAGTCCTTTTGACATGATCCTGGTAGTCTTTGAGTGTTTCCTAACCGTCTGGTATGATAAGATGTGCTAGGTTCATCCTGTACATTTCTTATGCCAGAGCTGGAGTCATTTCCCCAAGAATCTCTGGATTATTTTTGTAAGACATGGTAATTTAAGACTTAATTATTATTTAGGCTCCAGAGAAGTTCATTGTTAGTAGGTTTCACGTTGTCTTTCTGCCTTTTCATCCAAGCTAAGAAAATATATAGAGAGAATATATATAGAAAATACATACATACGTACCTATAAGTGTACTTCAAAAGTTCATACTGTTACTTCCAACTTTAATTTAAGACTAGAGCTTTTCAGTTTTTATCGATTGCATCTGCATTTCCTTTCTTCCATGTTGAGGGTCATGGTTGTGACCCTGAACTCGGAATACATATTTGGGTGAAGGAACTATGAAAAAACACAAAGATATGATTACCTTAAACGTCAGGATAGTGGTAAATGATAAAGAGTGAGAGGACTGACTGACAAAGTTCTTAACTTGGGTGGTGTTTACCTTATAATAATTCAATAAACTGTATGTTTTAATTGTGTGGTTTTCTATATAGTAGATCCCCCATCATCCTCAGGGCATTCATTTCAGGACCCCCAGTAGATACCTGAAACTGTGGTTAGTACCCACCCATATACTATGTTTTTTCGATCTGATAACCAAGATGGGCATGGAGTGAGTGAGGAGCAGGTAGTGTACACTGTGTGGACATACTGGACAAAGGGATGATTCACCTTCTGTATGGGGCAGAGTGGAATGGCATAAGATTTCATCATGCTGTTCAGAATGGCATGCAGTTTAAAAGGTATGCATTGTTTCTTTCTGGAATTTTCCATTTAATATATTTGGACCACAGTTGACCATGGGTAACTGAAACTTTGGAAAGATAAAGAGCAGATGTGGGGGACTATTGTGTCTATTTTTATTTTATAATAAAAACATTAGAAAACAATTCAGTGATCAAAGGATACAAAATTTCAGTTAGTAAGATGTGTAAATTCTGGATCATAATGACTACAGTTAAGAGTACCATATTGTATAACTGAAATTCACTGAGTGTGAATATGTGAAATGTGAAGTAATAGCAATGTTAAATAGCTTGATTGTAATGATCATTTTATAATGCATATGTATATCAAAGCATCAAGTTGTATACTTTAAATATATACAATTTCCTTTTTATTTTATTTTTTTTGAGACAGGGTCTCACTCAGTTGCCCAGGCTGGAGTGCAGTGGCACGATCATGGCTCACTGCAGCCTCAGCCTCTTGGGCTCAAGCAATCCTCCCACCTCAGCCTCTTAAGTAGCTGGGACTACAGGCACATGCCATCATGCCCGGCTCATTTTTTGATTTTTTTGTAGAGACAATGTAGAGACAATGTCACCCAGGCTAGTCTTGAACTCCTGAGCTCAAACAGTTGTCCTGTCTCAGCCTCCCAAAGTGCTGGGATTAGAGGCATGAGCCACTGCACCCAGCTAAATATATACAGTTTCTATTTGTCAATTAAACCCCAATAAAGCTGATAAAGATGTAGTGAATCTATGTATTTTGATGTTAAAATGCTTATCTAAAAAAATAATAGATCATGAACATCTTTTCTTGTTTATGTAGAATACAAATACATAACAGTATATGCATAGTGTGTTCCCCTTTGTTTTAGGAAAATTCTTTTTTTTTTTTTTTTTTTTTTTTTTTTCCGGAGACAGTCTCCCTCTGTCGCCCTGGCTGGAGTGCAATGGCGCGATCTCTGCTCACTGCAACCTCTGCCTCCAGGGTTCCAGCAATTCTCCTGCCTCAGCCTCCTAAAGTAGCTGAGATTACAGGCACCTGCCACCACACCCAGCAAATTTTTTTTTTTTTTTGTATTTTGTATTTTTTTTTTGTATTTTAGTAGAGATGGGGTTTCACCATGTTGGCCAGGCTGGTCTCAAACTCCTGACCTCAGGTGATCCACCCCTCTTTGGCCTCCCAAAGTGCTGGGATTATAGGCATGAGCCACTGCACCCGGCTGATATGTGGTAATTTAAAAAGAATTGAACTTTCAAAATTATGTCACTCAGAGACTAGATGATACACAAACTGGAGACTTCCTGGGAGATAACCAAAGATCTCTCCCTTTACTTCCTCTTGCAGAAATGAAGGAGTACATCGAGGAGGCCATTTCAACCCTTGACAGAGATATGCTACAGATAGTCTGTGCTTAACCATCAGGTGACATGGGAGGCGTAAAGGGGACAATTGTAAGTAAGATTAGAGAAATAGCTGTGACTGTTCCTTTATAAACTGCTTTTGACTATGTATTCTGACATTTTACTGAATATTACATTTTTAAAAGTGTTTAATTCCTTTTGAATGACCTTGTCTGTAGGCATAGCATATGTCAGGAAGATAATGAACAGAGTGCTAACCACGGTTATACGTGAGTGATGGGATTAAGTTTTTGCTTTAATTGTTTTCTTTTTACTTAGCTGAATTTCTAAAAGTTTCATCATGGCATTGAGAGAAAAAACCAAAAGCCATAAAAGAAGCAAAAGAATCACAGTACCAAAATTCTATATTTAAAATGTTGTGTTTTGTTGTTCTGGTGAATTTTTCCCCGTTTTGTTTGTTTGTTTTTTGTGGTATACCTATATCTCCCCCGTTGGATGATCTCTGGATCCCTCAAAGTTTGAGTTTCTCAGTTCTAGTGAGTTAGCATTGATGACAACGTTTAGAAAAAAATGGAAAATCAGCCAGGTGTGGTGGCTCACACCTGTAATCTCAGCACTTTGGGAGGCCGAGGTGGGCAGATCACGAGGTCAGGAGATAGAGACCATCCTGGCTAACACGGTGAAACCCCATTTCTACTAAAAATACAAAAAACTAGCCGGGTGTGGTGGCAGGCACCTGTAGTCCCAGCTACTTGGGAGGCTGAGGCAGGAGAATGGCGGGAACCTGGGAGGCGGAGCTTGCAGTGAGCCGAGATTGCACCACTGCACTCCAGGCTGGGCGACAGAGTGAGATTCTGTCTCAAAAAAAAAAAAGGAAAATATTGATTTTGCTCATATATCCATCAGAGTTCAATAAAAGAAGCACATGGCCACTAGGAGTGATATGGAGTATGAGACCTGTTATGGCGCTTTGGCCTGTAATAAATCTCAAGAAAGAAAAGAAGAATGTAACATGAGGGCAGGCAGGGACAGGCTGGGATCCACAAGGAGGGACTCCCACCAGCATCTACCTCCTCTCTGCCTCCACATCGCAGACCTGGATGATGCGTTCAACCAGCGGGAAAGGCTGGTGCCCTTTGCCACAGAGCTAAATATGTACCTGGCCCAGGAGGCAGAGAATCCGGAGGAGAAATTCAGCAGGACTGGAAGAACTGTGGGTCAGCTGCTGCCGCACCCCAAGGTGTGCCCGCAGAGCCGCAGCACCGTTCATGGGCTGCACCCGCGCCTGACACCTCACCACCGCCTTCCTACTACTTCACTTCCAGCCTCACACACGTGCCTCCAGCGGCCACAAAGAAAGGGGAATTACAGCCATACGGCTTAACTACTTTGCCCTGGTAAAAGCCACTGCAGTGCCTATTTACTACTGACCTGCTGGAGGATCATGGACAAAGTGACCTATCCTCTGCGGCTCCCCAAACCTCTCCACTGTAATCAGAAGACAGCACTAGCCCCTTCTTGCTGTGTACATATAGAGTAAAACATGAGAAAGAAAAGAAAAAATTTGGCCGGGCGCGGTGGCTCAAGCCTGTAATACCAGCACTTTGGGAGGCCGAGACGGGCGGATCACGAGGTCAGGAGATCGAGACCATCCTGGCTAACACGGTGAAACCCCGTCTCTACTAAAAAATACAAAAAACTAGCCGGGCGAGGTGGCGGCGCCTGTAGTCCCAGCTACTCGGGAGGCTGAGGCCGGAGAATGGCGTGAACCCGGGAGGCGGAGCTTGCAGTGAGCTGAGATCCGGCCACTGCACTCCAGCCTGGGCTACAGAGCGAGACTCCGTCTCAAAAAAAAAAAAAAAAAAAAAAAAAGAAAAAGAAAAAATTTTAGGCAACTGTTTGTATTCATTTTGTACCATCATTTTAAGTTGCTTTACGTTCATTCATTGATCTCTGAAATAGCCCTGTGTGTGGATATGCTGCTTAATGTGAAGCCAACTATTAAAATACATAAAATGTTAAGATCCAACAAAAAGAAGCATGTGTATGTGAGCCAAGAATAGCCCTTAAGGGTATGTGGCCATCCCTGAAGAGCAAGTGAATACCTTGGGACTTCCCCCCATGGGAAAAGCGGGAAAACAATGATAATATTTTATCACTGATAAATGTCCCAAAAGGGAGAAAATAATGTCGTCTAGAGTTTCTAGCTGACATGCATCAGGAAAGACATTGTGTTGACATTTGACACTAAGAATGCATAGGATCTGGGCAACAGGAGATGTGAAGAGAAGACATTTCAGGTGTAGAGAAAGGCAGGAGCAAGTGTTGGAGTTGGGACTGTGTAGGGTTGATTGGGCTGGTGCTCTCAGGTAAGAAGGGGAACACTGAGCTGGGAAACAATGCTGAGAGAAAGCAAAGGGGGACGAGCCCCTTATAAAACCATCAGATCTCCTGAGAACTCACTCACTATCATGAGAACAGCCTGGGGGAAACCGCCACCATGATCCAATCACATGGGAAACTGATAATGTTTCTCTTTAACTATGTATGAAAACAGCAACTCACAACTCCCTCCTCTCTCAAGTTGTAAACACATGGCAAGCAGATTCTCTTTCGTAATGATCATGCCCACTCAACCCAAATGTGACCTGTTATCATGTGTTGAGTGTCTACTGTGTGTCAGGTCCTGGGCCAGAAGTTGTGGGATTTTTTTTTGTTGTTAATTTAGAGGGATATTTAAAAATTTGCCTTCTTTATTGATTTCTAATTGCATCCCATTGTAGCCAGAGAAGGTACTTTGTATGATATCTGTTTTTAAAATCTGTTGAAACTTAACTTGTTGCTTAAAATATGATCTGTCCTAGAAAATGTCCTGTGTGCATTTGAGAAGAAAGTGTGCTCTGTAATGGTAGGTGCTCTGAATATGTTTGTTTGGTCCAGTTGGTTTATTGTGTTGCTCATGTCCTCATGGGCCCCACTCAGACCTAATCTACAGGTTCAACAAGATCTGCAAGTAATTTGGGTGCACATTACATTTTGAGAAGCAATATTCTATGTATAATACTCTCCTATGCCATAACATAAGGTTGGAAGGTCAGATACTCTCCTATGCAAATTTGACACTGATTTTTTTCCTGGGCTTGATGAGAAGGTAATCTAATTGATAGTCCTTATTTAATTTAAGCTTTGCCTGATATAAGCTTCCAGGATCTAGTTCCCATGCATGCTTGGCATAGCATACCTGTTACGTAGTTTGAAGTTATGTGTTTGAAACTTCCAGTGGACATGCCAAAAACAGAGTGATTGTACCTTCCTTGAGAGACGTGTCTGATCTTTTTCTTACCCTCTAATCTGATGGATTTTCTAAAAGCTTGCAAATGAAACAGGGTACTATAGAAACATATGGTCAATTTTTTTTTTTTTTTTTGAGATGGAGTCTCACGCTGTTGCCCAGGCTGGAGTGCAGTGGCGTGATCTCGGCTCACTGCAAGCTCCGCCTCCCGGGTTCCCGCCATTCTCCTGCCTCAGCCTCCTGAGTGGCTGGGACTACAGGCGCCCACCACCGCGCCCGGCTAATTTTTTGTATTTTTAGTAGAGACGGGGTTTCACTGTGGTCTCGATCTCCTGACCTTGTGATCCACCCGCCTCGGCCTCCCAAAGTGCTGGGATTACAGGCTTGAGCCACCGCGCCCGGCCTCCTATGGTCAATTTTTTAAAAGCATAACTGTAAATTATTCAAACCACCTTCTCTCCAGTCCAATCTCAAACTGCTAAGAATGTCTGCGTTTTAAAAGAGAAGCTTGGAAATCAAATGATTGAAAGAGGCCTTCCTGTGGATATGCTGCTTGATGTGACTCTGTCTGTGGTAGGTGGATGATCTATTGGAGCAAATGTTTTTTGAGAAGATGGATACATATTCCTTTTGTCCTTAGCTTTCCTTAATTAGCTCCAATCTCCACATTTTATCAGCCATCAGAGTGATGGAATCAGCAACTGGCATCTTTCAAAGTTCACAGTGGCAGCCTAGGAATAGAAGGGCTTTCAGCTTATGGAATCATTACCTGAGGAAAGGCTTTTCATAGGTAATCAAAATAGATCATGCTGATTTTGACATAAGGAGCACATTTCAAACGAATATTTTCACAGTCCTCCTGGCTCTGACTCTAACTCACCTTTCCAGCCTCATTTCCCAGCTCAGTGTTACCTTTCTTATCTGAGGACACCAGCCCAAACAAACCCTACACTGTCCTAACTCCAACACTTGCTCCTGCCTCTCTCTACATCCGAAATGTCTTTTCATCATATTTTCTCTTGCCCAGATCCTACCCGTTCTTTGTGCCAAATGTCAACACGATGTCTTTCCTGATGCATGTCAGCTAGAAACTCTAGGCGACATTATTTTCTCCCAGTTGGGACACTTATCACTGTCTTGACATCATATTTGTCTTAGAACTTCCCTCCCCTAGTAGACTGTGAATTACTTGAGGGCAAGATCCTTGTCTAATTCATCTCTATATCCCCACAAATGCCTAATACAATACCTGCCATGCCAGCCCTCAATAAATAGCTTCATCCTTCATGGCTAATGATATCCAATACTTTTCATGTGCTTAATTGGCATCTGTAGTAGTCTTTTCCTTTTTCTCATGTTCTAATTGGAATTTCTGTTTATTATTGGGCTTTGAGAGTTCTTTATATATTCTAAATATTAGTCCTTGATATGGTTTGGCTCTATGTCCCCATACAAATCTCATCTCAAACTGTAATCACCATGTGTGGTGGGAAGGAGGTGGTTGGATCATGGGGGCGGTTTCCCCATGCTGTTCTCATAGTAGTGAATGAGTTATCATGAGATCTGATGGTTTTATAAGGGGCTCTTCCCCGTTCGCTCCTCACTCTTCTCTCTCCTGCCACCATGTGAAGAAGGTCCTTGCTTCCCCTTTGTCTTCTGCCATGATTGTAAGTTTCCTGAGGCCTCCCCAGCCATGTGGAACTGTGAGTCAATTAAACCTCTTTTCTTTTTAAATTACCCAGTCTCAGGTATTTTTTATAGCCGTGTGAAAATGGACTAATACAGTCCTTTATCTAATATGTGGTTTTCAAATATTTTCCTCTAGTCTGTTGACTTGCCTTTTTGTCCCTTTGTAAGGTGTTTAGCAAAAGTCTTTACTTTTGATGAAATCCAATTCATCAGTTTTTTATTTTAGGACTCATGGTTTCAGTTTCAAGTATAAGAATTCTTTGCCTAGCTTTAGCCCTTGAATATTTTCTCTGATTTTTTTTCTCCTAAATGTTTTATAGGTTTACATTTTACATTTAGATCCAGTACCTAATTTGAGTTAGCTTTTGGGTAAGGCATGAGACTTAGACTGATGGTCACTTTTTTGCCTATAGGTACTCAATTGCTCCAGCATCCTTTGTTGAAAAGGCTATTTTTTGCTGGCAATGTTGCAGAGAAAAGGGAATGTTTATACACTGTTAGTGGGAATGTAAATTAGTTCAAACATTGTAGAAAGCAGTGTGGCATTTCCTCAAAGAACTAAAAACAGAACTTATATTCAAGCCAGCAATACCATTATTGGGTATATACCCAAAGGAATAGAAATTGTTCTACCATAAAGACACATGCACACGTATATTCATTGCAGCACTATTTACAAAGGCAAAGACATGGAATCAACCTAAATGCCCATCAATGGCAAACAGGATAAAGAAAATGTGGTACATATACACCATGGAATACTATGCAGCCATAAAAAAGAATGAGGGCATGTTCTTTGCAGAAATATGGATGGAGCTGGAGGCCATTATCCTTAGCAAACTAATGCAGGAACGAAAAAACAAATACTGAGTGTTTCCACTTCTAAGTGGGAGTTAAATGATGAGAACACATGGACACAAAGAAGGGAACAACAGACATTGGGGCCTACCTGAGGGTGGAGGGTGGGAGGAGAGAGAAGATCTGAAAAAATGACTAACGGGTACTAAGCTTAGTACCTGGGTGACAAAATAATCTATATAATAAATCTCCGTAGCTTGAGTTTACTTGTAGAACAAACCTGCACATGTACTCTTAAACCTAAAATAAAAGTAAAAAAAGAAAAAAAAGAAAAGGCCATCTTTCCTCCATAGAATTGCTTTTGCATCTTTGTCAAAAAATAGTTGGGCATATTTATGTAGACCTCTTTCTGGGTTCTCTATTCTGTTCCCTTGACCTCTGTGTTTATCTCTCTGTTGATGCCACACATTCTAGATTGCCGTAGCTAAAAAAGAAGTCTAGAGATTGGTTAAATGCATTCTTCCTGCTTTATTCTTCTTTATCTAAGTCATTTTAGCAGTTCTAGTTTCTTTACATTGCAATATAAACTTGTCTATACAAAAATTCTTGCTGGAACTTTGATATCAATTTGAAGAGAATTGACATCTTTACTATGCTGAGTCTTTTAACCCATGAACATGATGTGTCTCCACTTATTTAGAATTTCTTTGGTTTCTCTCATCAGCACTTTGTACTTGTCAGCATCCAAATCCTGTATCTGTTTTGTTAGATTTACACCTTGGTGTTTTGTTTTTTCAGCAGTTGTAAATGGTATTGTATTCTTAATTCTGGTGTCCACTTGTTTATTGCAAGCATATAGAAAAACCTTTTCATGTTTACCTTGCATTCTGTCACTTTCCTGAACTTGCTTGTTAGTTTTTGTTTGTTTGTTTGTTTTTGAGATGGAGTCTTGCTCTTGTTGCCCAGGCTGGAGTGCAGTGGCACAATCTCGGCTCACCACAACCTCCGCCTCCTGGGTTCAAGCGATTCTTCTGCCTCAGCCTCCCAAGTAGCTGGGATTACAGGCATGCACTACTACGCCTGGCTAGTTTTGTTTTTTTTGTTGTTGTTTTTTTTTTTTGTTTTTTTTTTGTTTTTTTTAGTAAAGACGGGGTTTGTCAGGCTGGTCTTGAACTCCCGACTTTGGCCTCCCAAAGTGCTGGGATTACAGGCATGAGCCACTGCTTCTGGCCTTGCTTGTTAGTTTTAAGAGCCTTTGTTTTTTTATTCCTTGAGATATTCTGAACAGACAACCATGTCCTCTGAAAACAAGGACAGTTTTCTTTCTTTCTTTCCAATCTATATGTTGTCTTTTATTTCTTATTCTTGCCTTATTGCACTGGCTAGATTTTGTAACACTATGTTGAATAAGAGTGGTAAAAACAGACATGCTTGGCTTGTTCTTGATTTTAGAAGGAACTTTCAGCCTTTCATCATTAAATATAATGTTAGCTGTAAGTTTTTATTTGATACCTTTCATGAATTGAGGAAGCTCCCCACTTTTCCTATTTTTCTAGGTTTTTTTGTTTTTGTCATGAATGAGTGTTGAATTTTGTCAAGTGTTTTAATGCATTGATTGATATAATCATGTGGTTTCTTTCTTCCTAGACCTTTTTACATGGTAGATTACAATGAATAAATTTCAAATGTTGAACCATCCTTACATCCTTGCATACTTAGAATAAATTAGACTTTTTTTTTTTTGAGACAGAGTCTCACTCTGTTGCCCAGGCTGGAGAGCAGTGGCATGATCTCAGCTCACTGCAAGCTCCGCCTCCCGGGTTAATGCCATTCTCCTGCCTCAGCCTCCCGAGTAGCTGGGACTACAGGGGCCCGCCACCACACCCGGCTAATTTTTTTGTATTTTTAGTAGAGATGAGGTTTCACCATGTTAGCCAGGATGGTCTCGATCTCCTGACCTCGTGATCCACCCACCTCGGCCTCCCAAGCTTTTCTTTTTTGATCAGAAATTTGTTGACATTTGGCTGGGCACAGGGCTTCACATCTGTAATCCCAACACTTTGGGAGGCTGAGGTAGGCAGATCACTTGGGGCCAGGAGTTTGAGTCCAGCCTGGCCAACATGGCGAAACCCCATCTCTACTAAAAATACAAAAGTTAGCCAGGCATGGTGGCGCACAGCTGTAATCCCAGCTACTCGGAGGCTGAGACATGAGAATCGCCTGAACCCAGGAGGCAAAGGTTACAGTGAGCCAAGATTGTGCCACTGTGTTCCAACCTAGGCAACAGAGTGAGAACCTGTCTCAAAAAAATAAAAATAAAAATAGAAAAGAAAAGAAAAAAAACGAAAAGAAAAGAAAAGAAAGAAAAGAAGAAACTTGTTGACATTTCTGGGTCACTGACTTCTCCAGTACCTGGTCAAAAGCCCAAGGAACTCACCACCATGTCAATCTTTGGGTCTCAAGGTTCCCTGTTGGTGTGCCTTCTTCTACCTGCTTTTCAGCGACCAGGCCTTCACAGTGATTGGTTTTGTCTCCTAGACCAAAGAACCTAAAGCTGGGGTCTCTTTATGAATAAAATAACTAATGTAATCATGCATATAAAATAGACAACTTCAAATATTGGCGATCTTGATTTTGGTTTGTGGATTCCAAATGTCCAAAGGAAGTAATAGACTGAATGTTTCAGGGCTGATGTGAAAGAAAAATAAATCCTAATTTTCCTTTTGTTGATCCATTTCAAGATAACCCAGAATCTTTTCATAAAGATGCTTGATGGCATGGTGTGGACTTAAGACTTGGATTTGTGCTTTCTGATAAATATAGTGGTGTCAGATATTATAGCTGGGTAGCTATAATTGCAAGAATCGTGTAGTCTTCACACAGTAAGAAACTGAGTCAGCCCATGAATTCATCTGCAGACTCTCCGAATAGAAAATAACTAATTTTCTATTTGTATGGAGGAATAAATGTGTTGTCATAGTTCAGCTTTATTTCCTGTGAACTGATGCCTTCCTCCATAGTGAGTCATATGTATGCTTCAGTGCGTTCTGGAAAACATGCTCCTGTGGTATCATGATGGGCAATAAAAACACAGGATCCCAAGGAAGATCGTTGCTAAATGGCATTAAAGTATAGAACTGGGATGAAAAAGTGAGCTGGTGACATCTGACTAACAGGGAGTTGGAGCACCGTGCAATCATAAAACGAAAAGGCCAGGATGCCCACAGAGCAGAGGAGCCAGCAAAGCTTGGTTTGCATTCTGCCTCTCTAAATGAGACATTCTGGTCATAAAAGGCTCCTTGAAACTTCCCATCCACCAGGGCTGCTTAAACGAGCACACGAATGGTATTTAAAGTGCTCGGATAACTGCAGATAGATAGCATGGATCACAGCAGCAGAGATGGAGCTGGGCTGTGGCTCGGGTCACCCAAGATGTTTCACTTGCCTTCATGGAAGTTGTCAGTTATTTATCTATTTTTGGCATAAGACTTCTCTTTGTGTTTTTTCAGAACCAGTATGAAAAATACCTTTTCATGTCCTGAGCATCCCTATAGGGATGGTGAGAGGAGAGCCCAGGATCATGCCGGCTACAGGCAGAAGGCAGAAGGCAGAAGGGATCCAAAGCAGGCTGAAAATGAGCCGTTGAGCAAACATAAGAAATTGCCTAGTTCTACTCGAACTGAGATTCTCACCTATAAGCAGGGATTCTCAAACTCCGATTGTAGCAGAATCTTCTAAACAGTTTACCATTCAGATTCCTGTGCACAGCACCGGGCAATACTGATTGAGAGTGTGGAATGAGGCCCAGGAACCTGCATTTTTCATTCATTCCCCCAGATGTTTCTGAAGCAGGTGATCTGGGGACTACATCCAGAGAAACCTTCTCCTGAGAGTAGGTGGTTGTTTGTGATGGAGGTTCACGGAAAGAACTGTAGAAAAAAATCATGTGTCTGAATTCCTGAAATGGTACCAAAGCTAATGATTGCATCTGTTTCCAATGGAGCTGTTTAACTAATTCTCCCACTTCCAGCTTCAGATTGCTCCTTGAGATCCATCCAGCATCTCAAAGAGACATGTTCGTGGCACCAAGAGAAGGTTTTGGTCAGAGAGAATGGCTGAGTCTCTGTGACTTTATCTTCACTATTGAAAAAATGACTCAAAGGGGCCATCCTGCTGAGGTGGATAAGCAGCTTGTCTCTGCAGACAGAGAGAGCCGTGCAGTCATTAGCGAGCCAGCTCCCTAACGGCTTCCAAAGAGCAAGAGTAGGAAGAAGCTCCCCTTGGTGCTGGTTTTCCTTCGTCATGACTCGTGGAGGTGGCCCAAGACTCTCTATCAAAGATCTGACTGGAAAGAAGAGGTCCCCTAGCCCTTTGACTTCAGTTTCAGAGCCCCTTTTATGCCTCCTTGGGCCCCCAGAATCTTCTTCACCTGCCCCTGCAGCTGTGCAAAACTGTAAAGCATGGTCCACAGTTACGCAGGGCGTCTCCGTTGACATGACCTCAACCCCCAGCTTAGTCATGTTTTCATTTCTCACGTGTCTTCTCAAACATTTAATTATAAAATACTTAAACATTAATTTAGACGAGTTATTCTTTCAAACTCTTTGTTTAAATAAGAGACCCCAAAGAGTCATAGGTTTTAGTTTATTATTATTATAATTTTACCTTTGTGCAAATAAGATATGATGAAAGTGCTCATCATCATCCTCTGACTTAGTGGAGAAGATGCACAGGTACCCATACCTTCCGGAAAACAGATCTCAAATGGAATTTTACCAGAGCAACACATTTTAAAGCAAGATCAGTGAGAATTACAGCCTTCACAGAAGCTACAGATTACTTCCACAAGCCATAGCAACAGTCTCGGAAGTTCAGATCCATTGTAAAACTCTTGTATTAGAAATGTTAATAACATTGGCAACCAGAGTTAAATGATGTAGAAGAGCATTTTATGTTTTCATTTAGTTTTATTTGTTTCGGATAGGGAAAGAGGGATATATTTCCTTCTCCTTAACTAGCTATGATTTTTTTCCCCAGCAATTGAAAGTGCCTGTTATTTCAAGGTCTGGATTTCCATTACCTAGCACTGAGAGAAATAAAAACAAGCCTGCTTTATTAAAGTATCAAAATATTTTTAAAATAAAATACGAAGAAGGAAAAAGTGAAAAGAGAATTTAATACATTGAATATGAGGTTTGTAAAGTTTTGCATCTAAATGATCCTTTCTAATGCCTGGTTTCTTCCTCCCTGCCTCTGACTGGGTGATTTAGCTGTCCATCTCCTGACCGGGCTCCAGTGCCTGCCCACCACCCCCAGACCTTTCTCTACCTTCCCTCCTGTTTGTCAGAGGCACTAGAAGACTCATCCCTCCCCTTGGCTTGTGACTTTCTCCCCTTATGTTACTACACTTGGTTCCTTCATTTCCCTTACGCTCAAGTCTACGCCACCCTTCAGCCGATACCAGCCTTTTTCTCGTGCCAGGACCTGCCTTCTGTCCTTGCAAGACTGGCCTGCATCTGCGTCCTCTGCTGTCACGTTTTCTGCCACCCATGCCAGCCCCTGCTCACCCATGACATCCTGAATGCCAAACCCAAAGCCTTCCCTCCAGCCCCCACCCAGCTTCGATGCTGAGCCCGCTTCTCCTGGAATGCTCCTTTGCAGGGTTTTCTCCCTGACAAATCCTTCTGCAACCCCTTATTGGCTTCTGTTCCTACCCTGTCGTTGAGCACTGATATTCTCCTGGGTCTCATCCATCCCTTGTCTCATGTTCCTTCACTCACTCATTCTCCTAAAGCAATCTCACCCTTTCCAGTGTTCAGCCACCAGGCATGTGCTTCTGGTGATTAAATCTACATGTTACTTATGTCTCTTTCCTAAGTGCAAGGCACTTGTTTCCAGCGACATCCTAACACCTCCATTTGCCTTCTCCACAGGCAGGGATCCAACCTATCAACCCATGGCTTCCCTCCAGCCCTCCATTCCCAGTCTCCGTCAAGACCACCACCCTCTGCTCTGCCTTGCAGGCCTGACCCCTTCCTGTCATTCGGCCTCCACACCATCACTTCCAATTTCTGCCAGTTCTTCTGCTAAAATATCTGTTGTATCCACCTCCTCCTTTTCCATTTGTGGCAAAACTACTGTGCGTCTGGCCCTCACACTTTTTCCCCCTGCACACGCCTCCCAACTGATTTCTCATTTCAGCTCCTATGTCTACCATAAGCTTCTCTGTGTAGTCACAGCTGGGTCAGATCCCAAGATTTCAAACACCAGTGTCTTCCTGACACTTACACAGCATGTCCCTTCTGCCCCATCAGGCTCTTTCAATACAATGTTCAGTGCCAGCCTCATCTGTAACTATCGTATTCCCCTTCCTTTTTACTTCCCTTCTCAATCAGAGGTGAGGTCAAGTTCTAACATCAGAGGATACCCAGCTGATGGTGGGCAGTGCAACTTGCAAATACAGAGAGTAATCATAGAAAAAGAACACCGCTTGTTTACCACTGCCTCTACAATCTGCAACCTGAAAACCTGTTTCCCTTGGGCCCTTCCTGCTGTTCCCCTAGCATCCTCTGGCCCAGTTCGAGCAACTTGCTGGAAGGTGCTGCAACTCTTCTTCTCCCTCCACTCTAGCTGTCAGCCATGCTTCAGTCCCCGCACGCCAGGAACCTGAAACTTCACTTTTCTCTGGAGCTTTCCGACCTCCCTACCTCTCCTGTTGTTCCCCCTCCCTGTCTTCCCTGTTCCCCCTCCCCTGCCTTCTCTGCTTGGCAAACCCCCACTTGTTCTTAAGCCCCCTGCCAAAGCCAGCTCCAGCTCAGCTGTAGAGCTTTGCCTACTTCCTTGCCTCTTGATGAATACCTCTTTTATAGCACTTCTCGCACGCTCTTGTAGGGAACTACTGATGTGTCCATCTTTCCTGCTGTGCTGTGACCTCCTTGAGCTCAGGAATTATGTCTTCATCTTCCTACCCCTGGAGCCTGACACAGAGTAGGAGCTCCATAAATGTTTAAAGAAAAGAACGAATTACTGTCATTGTTCCTAGTGCTGTGGAAGAGCAATGGAGCTAGAAAACACAGCCCCCATCCTCCCGAGGGTAAAGGTGGTAGGGGCTGCAGTGTGAATATACAGGAAACCTCATAAGACAAGGCAGGGTAAGCAACAAATACATGGCGAAGTTGCGAGGAGGAAGCATTGTGTCCAGCTTCTCCACACACCAAGCAACAGTCCTCCTTTCCTTCCAAAGCCAATAGTCCCCCCTTCTCCTCCAGCTCCCTCCCTAGTCAGCAGGATAGAAGGACTTGTGCATCTGCCTACAGCAAACTGACTCATACCACCCACCCAACCCAGTCACCTACCCAGAAGAAACAGGCTGGACAGGCACAGAACCAGTGCCTGTGTCACTATCAAATCCATTTCTGAATCTGCCCAAGGTCATGTGGGCTGCTCGTCCCTGTTCACAGCCTTTGTTTCCCTATAATCTGCATACTTTGTAATACACTCTTCAGAGTTTATTGCAAGCCACTTGTATTTTCTCGCCTTCAGTTAAACTTTTAGGCTAATTGGTCCCCATTAAACTCCCCCTTCATCAAACTTGCTCTTGGAAACTCTTTCCAATCTTTGTAAGCCATTATCTTTTCTATTGATTGCCATTCCTATTCACTCTTTCTTGTTAAATTACCTGACTTTCATCTGTACTCTCCCATTACTTAGCCTCTCTTTTCAAACGCTAGCTACTTACTATTCTTTCCTCCTCTTAAATGGTTCCCATTCCAAGCCTCTGAACCTTCCCCTGTGTATTTGTTAGAGATTCTTTTATTGCTGCCTTTCTGTGTCTATGTTTAAAATAGAGTTTTTGCAGTGTCATTTCATCATAGTCTCTGACCGCCTGGACATGACTCTTACTTTTTCAACCTTTTATATCCCTGAGAGCTTTCCTGTAAATAACTCATTCATTCATTTATCTAACAGGTAGTGAGTGTTGAGTCACCTAATACTTGTATTGAGTCATCACCCAACTAGGAAGAAAGACATCACTGCAGGTGTTTTAAACAGAGGTACTTTAATTTAGGGAACTGGTTACAAAAATATTGGAAAGAGTAGAGCAGCTAACATTAAAAACATTAGTTTTTGACAAGGATTTGGACAAGGATTTGGACAAGTGTTGACAAGGATTTGGAACAACTGGAATTCTTATACACTGCTGGTGGGAATGTAAAATAATATAATTTTGGTTGTTCCTTAAAAAGTTAGATATATGACTACCATATGATTCAGCCAACCCAAACTTAGGTATTTACCTAAATGAAATGAAAGCAGATACTCATACAAAGACTTGTACAAAAATGCTCAGAAGCTTTATTTATAATGGCTCAAAACTGGAAACAATCCAAATGTTTATCAACAGAGCTACAGATAAATTGCAGTATATTCACATAATAGAGTACTACTTAGCAATAAAAAGGAATAAACAATTGAAATATACAACAGCAGGAATTAGTTTAATTATGCTAAGTAAAAATTCAAAAAAATTAAAAGAAGTCTATACTATATAATATACAATTCCATTTATATAAAATTCTATAAAATGCAAGCTGTAATCACAGAAAGCCAATCAGCAGGCAGGAAAGGGGAGGAACAGATTGTCAAGAAGCACAATAAACTTTTGGAGGTGATGGACATGTTCTCTATTTTTATTGCGATGATGATATCACAGTCTGTACTTATGTTAAAGGTTATCAAATTATACACTTTAAATATATATAGTTTATTGTATGTCCATTGTGAAAGGTAAATAAATCTTGCCCTAAAATCACTAAGCTAAAGGGAAAAATCAAGCTGAGAATTCCTTAGGGCCAACGTGCCCCCCATTCTATTCAAAGTCAACCCCTCTGCTCGCTGAGATAAATGCATATCTGATTCCTCCTTTGGAGAAGCTAATCAGAAACTCAAAAGAATGCAACTATTTGTCTCATATCTACCTATGACCTTGAAGGCCCCTCCCCACTTCAAGTCTGCCCAGCTGTGCTTTGAGTTGTCCTGCCTTTCCAGACTGAACCAATGTTTATATTGCGTGTGTTGATTGTCTCCCTAGAATGTATAAAACCAAACTGTGCTCTGACCACTTTGGGCACATGTCGTCAGGACCTCTCGAGGCTGTGTCACGGGTGTGTGACCTCAACTTGGCAAAATAAACTTTCCAGATTAACTGAGATGTGTCTCAGATCTTCAGGTTCACATTTTAGTAACTACAAGGGGGTTCTGAGTGGCAATGTGTCCCTGATCTTTGACAATTCTCCTATTGGTGCTTGGTACCAGCATGAGCTAACTTTATGGCTCAAACCAATAGGACAATTTGCTGAGGTCTGAGAGCACCCCCTCCAGAGAGTCCCTGATCTTCCAAAATTTGGTTGAGATCTAAAGTTTATTTTGCTGTACCACTCCTCTTTTTTTGAAGTTTTACTTGCTTCCAACAAGGAAGGCAAGATTTCCTGTTTCCGATGGAAGGCGAGTAACTCCTTTATGGAGTTTGAACTTGCTCCCAAAAAAGAAGCTGAGTTTTTGTTTTTGGTTTTTTTTTTTCCTGCTTTTAGGATGGTAGAGAGCAGTCTACAGCCTGAGGCCCATCCCTAAGTAAGTTACTGAATTGGGTTTTTTCTTGGCTAAAGTTAATATAAGTTGTGTCATTGTTTGTTTTGCTTAATTGTTTGTTGTTGTTTGTTTCTGTTTTTGTTGTTTCAGTCTTTTCCCGTTGGGTTTGATCAACTCTATCTGACTTGATCAAATCCAAAGGAAAGTTCCAAATTATGGGGAACAAGCCTTCTGAAGTGGCTAAATTACCTCCACCACACACACAAAGGTGGTGTGGTGGGAGAGAAATGGCCAGCAAAAGGGAAAAAAAAAAAAGAGGAAAGATTTTTAAAATTTTAACTGCTAGAGAGTCTTTATTTACATAACAAGACCACCTTTTTGTTAGCCAGGTCAAACTGAAAGCAATGGCTGTCATCCCATGCTGCAGTTCCACAGCTAAGGTTCTGCCTCCTTTTTTTTCCACCACGGCAGCCTGAGTTTAGTTCCTAAAACAAGCCCTTTCAGGTTTGATACCTGGTGCTTCTGAAATAGCAACAATTTGTCCTAGCTGAAGTATAGTAATGAGAATTTTAAAAAGTTTTTTTACTGAGAGCTCAATGGTTAAAAGTCAGCTTAATTAAAAGCTCACATCCAAGATGTGTGTGTGTATGTGTGCATGTGTGTATGTTTGTATTTTTTTTTTTTTTTTTTTTTTTTTTTTTTTTTTTTTTGGAGACGGAGTCTCGCTCTGTCGCCCAGGCTGGAGTGCAGTGGCCGGATCTCAGCTCACTGCAAGCTCCGCCTCCCGGGTCTATGCCATTCTCCTGCCTCAGCCTCCCGAGTAGCTGGGACTACAGGCGCCCGCCACCTCGCCCGGCTAGTTTTTTTGTATTTTTTTAGTAGAGACGGGGTTTCACTGTGTTAGCCAGGATGGTCTCGATCTCCTGACCTCGTGATCCGCCCGTCTCGGCCTCCCAAAGTGCTGGGATTACAGGCTTGAGCCACCGCGCCCGGCCGTATGTTTGTATTTAAAAGGCCTTAATGTTTTGGGTTTTTTTGTTTTTTCTCTCCTAGGACCTTGCCCTTCCCCCTCTGCACCCAGTTGACTGGGTTCTGTTTTATTCATTTACTTCTGCTGTCTCTCCTTTCTCTTACACCTTCTGCTGCGTGAGGGACTTAATCATTTCCAGTAGTCTGGGGTTCCTTAAAGAAAATGGCAAATGTACCAGACTCCCTTTGGAGGAGAAACCTGTTTTTCCTTATGGAATGCCAAGAGTGTAAACAGACAAGTTCATGTCAGCTCTTAAACTGCTTGCTTTTGTATTGCATTACATGGTTTATTGACTAAAATTATTATTACAACAGAAGCTACTCTTGGGTTTTTTATTTTTTAAGAAGAGTGTAGTTTAGATACTCAGAAATGTGTTTGTTTAAAAAAAATTTTTTAAGTGCACTGTAAAAATATCACATGGTCTAGCCTCATAATAATTCTCCCTTTTTGGAAACCCAGGATTCAGTGTGGGCTCTGCCCAGAGCTTAGAGATCCAGTTAAAAGATAGGTAGCCGGCCAGGTGCAGTGGCTGATGCCTGTAGTCTCAGCACTTTGGGAGGCTCAGGTGGGTGGATCACGAGGTCAGGAGATTGAGACCATCCTGGCTAACACGGTGAAACCCCATCTCTACTAAAAATACAAAAAATTAGCTGAGCATGATGGGTGGCGCCCATAGTCTCAGCTACTCGGGAGGCTGAAGCAGGAGAATGGCATGAACCTGGGAGGTGGAGCTTGCACTCAGCCGAGATCACACCATTGTACTCTAGCCTAGGCAACATAGCGAGACTCCGTCTCAAAAAAAAAAAAGTTAGGTAGTCCATATCTAAATAAAATTGGTCTCTTTATACAATCTGATGATAGATTTTTATGATTTTATGTTTGATTTGGTGTTCATCTTTAATCTCCATCTAGCACACCACACTCTTTCTCTCCATACCTTATGATGTAAATTTTGCTATTTGATCTTCATCTGAGTTGTTTCCTTTAATATGCAAATTTAAGGCTATTTAGCTGACAGCTGCCTAGGGTTGTGAAACAGATTATCAAGAATCTGAAAGTCTAAGATAGGGGAAAAAAAGAATCTATAAGATGTACTTCTGTTGGTATGCCTAATATGTCTATGCATTTGTGTGTTGTGTACTGAAGTTTTCAGTAGTTTCACTACTGGAAAATATATAGTGGAGCTCTAATTAGCTTAAAGAGAAATAAAAGCACTTAAATACTTCATCAGAAAAAGGAAAGACTAGTCAAATGCTTTTTCAAGTTTACATGACTTAAGTAAAATCTTTAATAAATAAACTAACTTTAAAATTATTGGTAAAGTAACATTAGAAATGTCTTAAGAATTGCCAGCATACATTTTTGTTTGCATTTATCAATCAAGTAATTTCATACCTATCCCTGCCAAATACTATAAGGTGTTAAAATTTGGCATAGGAGTTACAAAACTATAAACACAGCCCAAGACAGAATGATCTTTGCTTGTGTAATCTTTAATAAATAAGACATTGATCTTGGTTTAATGAAGATAGCTACATCTTGAATTATTTAGTAAAATTACCATAACTTCTAATCTTGTGGTTTTTGGCAGTTGAGTCCACAGGCAGTAAGGAGGTTTGTTTTGGGAAAGGACTGTTATCATCTTTGTTTCAAAGCTAAACTAAGTTTCTCCCAAAGTCCAAGAATGAACAAGGACACCTTGGAAGTTAGAAGCAAGATGGAGTAAGTTAGGTCATATCTTTTTCACTGTCTCAGTTAGAATTTTGCAATGGTGAGTTTTATAACTTTACATCATGACTATTGCAATTTTCATAAACAATCTAGGTAAACCAATAAAATAAAATATATAGGCAAATGTAATGGGATAAATACTTGTAGAGAAACTTGTCATAGTTTCGACTCTAAAGTTATATTAAATTAAATAATATATATTTCATTATTTGGGTATTTTTATATAAAAATGTATTGTAGGAAAATATTCTTTCTTAAAAAAGTGTCCTTTTAAAAAAGGTTAACAATTTTTGTCTAATTCAAAGGTTACATATAAAACTAGATAAAAGAAACCAGGAAATAAGAGAGATGTAAAGGATGTTATAGAAATAAAGAGGTATTTTTTGGAAAGAAAGCTTAAGGAGAAATTATTTTATATAAGAAAGAAACTTGTATGATAAATTTAGACCTGGAAGAAAATGACTGGTTTTTTAAGAAAGAGGGATATTCAGGACAAACCAGAAAGTCCAAGCATGTCATGAATGGTCTGTGTAAGTCACAATATAAAAGGATTTATTTAAAAAAAAAACAAAAACTTTTATATGATCAAGTTGTCTGTAATTAAAGGGAAATTATAATGGTCTTTCTAGAGATTGGGTTTAATGTAAAACAACACTTATACACTAAATAATTAAATAGAACAACAAAATTTCCTTAAGGGATTGATTTACTCTTAATAAATTGTTAGAGATTTTAATTTTTTGTTAATCCACAGTTTAACTTTTATTGCATCTCACCATTTTCAGTTTTCTCTCCCCTTTTAAAAGGCATGAAATAACGCTCTCCTTCAACTCATTTTCGGCTCGTAAAAGTTTTTTTCTCAAGTTCTTTTTGTTGTGATCCGATGCTAATATTTTCTTAAAGATCTAAAGGAAATGTTTTCTTCCAACATAATATTCTATATACTGCAGAAGTTCTTTTCTTTTGCCTTTTGGTCACTGGCCTAACAGATTTTATGTTTTATTGAAATAATTCCTATGCCATTATTATTATGTTTGGGTTTGCTTAGTTAAAAAAAAATAAGATTAAAAAACATTTTTTTTAAATTAAGGTTATTACTTCCATGTATCTTTCTATGTGTGTTTTTTTAAAGTACTTGTGACATTAAGTTACAGAGTTTTGACTCCTGGGCGTAAAAAGGACACCAAGTCCAAATCTTAAACACTGACAGCAGTGAAAGTCTCATCTTCAGGTCCCATAGAAGATGCCAATCAAAATAAATTGCATTCCCCAGGCACAAGGCCAGAAATTAAAGCCATTCAACTCCTCAAGGCCCAGGGACTATCGTGGAAGAGGTGGGCATATGAGATCGTAAGGGACGATTTTAAGAGATAAAATAAGTTATATTTCTTTATAAATTAACCATTGGTGTGAAAAGCACACTGATGCAAGACCAGGATATAGACCCCTGTGTCAGATTAACAAGGTTTTCTTGAAGCATTAACCCACTCATTAATGAAGGTTATATAGGTTATAAAGGTTTGTGGAAGTTATATCCTATGATCAAGATTAAAATTTTGTAGATTGTAAAATTTTAAAAGATTTAATTGGCTTCATGCTGTTTCTTTTTTTATATACTTTAAGTTCTAGGGTACGTGTGCACAACGTGCAGGTTTGTTACATATGTATACATATGCCATGTTGGTGTGCTGCACCCATTAACTCGTCATTTACATTAAGTATATCTCCTAATGCTATCCCTCTCCTCTCCCCCCACCCCACCACAGGCCCCGGTGTGTGATGTTCCCCACCCTCTGTCCAAGTGTTCTCATTGTTCAATTCCTACCTATGAGTGAGAACATGTGGTGTTTGGTTTTCTGTCCTTGTGATAGTTTGCTCAGAATGATGGTTTCCAGCTTCATCCATGTCCCTACAAAGGACATGAACTCATCCTTTTTTATGGCTGCATAGTATTCCATGATGTATACGTACCACATTTTCTTAATTCAGTCTATCATTGATGGACATTTGGGTTGGTTCCAAGTCTTTGCTATTGTGAATAGTGCCGTAATAAACATATGTGTGCATGTGTCTTTATAGCAGGGCTTCATGCTGTTTCTATTAGGGTTTATTGTTTGGAAAATTAAGTGTCCTCTCTCAAAGAATAAATGTTTTCATCTGTTTTTGGAAATCTTTATCACTTTGGTTAAATGAATGACTTATTTTACAATGAT